AACAAGATATCACTGATCGGCCGACCAATCACTGCGCTGTGTGATTGTGCAGTGCGTGGTTCACTCAACAGCAGCCAATCGTGCAGCAGCAAGCCCGGACTACATATCCACGGCGCACATTCATTCAGAAATGTTAGATTTGGCAGGAAAATTTGTGTATTTAAAAATTCTAAGCGATACATCATTTCTTAACTTTTCCCCAACATGTTCGAATGAATATCCATTCATACAAGACGAGATTGAAATTCGAATGAACCTTTGATTTGGGTAAAGCGTTGTCCCTCGGTCTGGTTGGCATTTTGTAGCATTAATACCCTCGTCTTGTTGCTGTATTGTTTACCGTGGTGGATAATTTAACCCTCTGCCGAGGCATCGCATTTAGCAACTCTACTGAATTCGGATCAGTAGCAGCTGTATACCACAATCGGCAACAAAAGCTTTTTGCCTCAATCGCGCAAAAACTGGTAAACATTAACGTCCCCTTGTATTTATTGTTTAATTCACAAAAATCTTTACTTTGAATCAAATAGGCTCACCTTATTGTTTTGCGTTTAAGACAAGCTTTGCGAAGTAATCTGTGTGCAGCACGGAGCCCATCGCATACACTTCAGATGATTCCCAAAGACTTACACCGCGGCACGCGCGAATAGACCGATGGCGTGAAAATCAACACCGAAGATTCCTGATTCAGAGAAGCCACGAGGCCTAAACTGTCGAACTACCGACGTGACTAATCCCACACCGCCGTCATAGTAATCTGCACCAACAAACCACACCAAGTATACATCCGATTAGCCTACGCGTGCATATAAGGAAAATTAACACCCGAATTCGCATGCCTCTAACAACACACACCGACGCAAACACTTATTGTAAGCCAGAAAAACGTTTACTTGGAGTTATTACTTCAAATATATCTAAAGTAGCTAGGGTTACCCATAACGACTACAACATGCGTGGCGAAGCTTAAATTCGTAAATGCGCACAGAAAATCTCCGTAAATCATGCATTCTTGAACTATTTAAATGTCACAATTAACCAAATCAAGATTGAGAACCCGTAAAAAAGACAAAAGACGAGTTTTTAAAAATAGTATCTTAAAAACAATGCTGTGAGGTACCTATACATACAGATGCCAATTGTGCAAGCTAACTAATCCTGAATCTTGGCCAATATGTCAGATTCACGAAATAGATAGTACTCCTAAACGAGAAATCAAAATTAAAATAACGACTTTTACCTTGTCCTCAAGTACGACCTTAGTGCCGCCGTACTCAGGTAAAAACACATTTTCGCCAACTTTGACGCACAAAGGGATTGTCTTTCCACTCTACAGAGAAATTTTGTCAACACTAAACTTTGATTTACCTCGTCCATTCGTCCTGGTCCAGCAGCAACTACGGTGGCTTCTAGAACTTTTCCTTTTGCTTTCTCTGGAATCATTATACCACCTTTTGTAGTAGCCGTTGCTTCGAACCGCTGAACAAGAACGCGGTCAAAAAGTGGAAGAAAACGCTTGAACGCTTTCGAAGCCTTTAAACGGTAATACATAAAACGGACAACTTACCATCAACGCACGTGCAGATCACCGGGTAATCTATGGGACCTCTGACCTCCTTTGTGATTCAATAAAACAAATTTGGAAATTTTAAGCACAAAATGAAAATATGTTTTTTTCTTTTATCATGTAGCAATTTTGCCTACTATAACAATTACACAAAATTTGATCGACTTTATTGGTATTTTGTAATTTTTGTGCTTAACTAGTAGACCTCAAAATGCATTAAGCAAAGAGGCAGTAGTAAACAGCAGAGAACTAAATCATTTAAGGTGATTTCACATAAGTTACAGTTTCCTGCTATTTTAACCTCATAAAAGCAATTATGAAACATATATATCGAACGTCGTGCGCTTCCTCAAGAACCTTCTCACTGGTGGGCAGTTATGACAAAGTTATTCCAATAAAATGTTTTAACTCTGAAAAAGATTATAGATTTTTGTTTCCTGTCTTTCATGTTTAGGGACCTTGGCCGCTACCCTCCTAGTAGCTGCCTCAAATAACTTTACGACATTTTCAATAAAAAAGATTGTCCATGCTATGCAAACGAACACTGGCTAATGCCGACTTTTATTTTATACTTTTGTTTTGCCCATTTTAGATTAAAAAACCAGTGTCATTTCCACTGCTTTGAAAATAGCCACAAGGCGTTACCTCTTTTATTGTTTGTAAAAGTGCTCAAATGTTGTTCCAGCGTTTTTTTTTTTTATCCACTAATCACCCCGCTCATTTCATTTCACAAACGAAGCATTCCACACTTAATGTAGCAGGTGGCAAAAATTCACACAATCAACGTTTTAGTTAAACTAAAACAACTTCTGAAATTTACGGCCCCTTTGAAGCTAATGCATAGAAGAATTTTAAGGGCCGACAATTCTCACACACACGCAAAAGCAACTCCATCTATCAGGCGCACTGTCTGGCATGTGGGTAAAAAGAGAGTCCATCGCGGCATTAAAACTTAAATAATTGGTAACGCAGAACAAGTTTGAATATTTTAAATAAAAGTATTTGGTTGCAAGTTGGAAGAAAGTAGCAACTTGTTTTATTACATCAGAATAGAGGTCGCGGACAGCAGAACTGGACAGTTGGGCGCACGTGAGCTAATGGTAGGTTTTGTACTGTTGTCGTTCCTCAATTTAAGGCGTCGAAAGCGTTGAGAAGTTTTCTCCCTCTATTCGACCGCGTTCTTGTGCAACGGTTTGAGGCTACTGCGACCACCAAGGGTGGCATAGTGATTCCGGAAAAGGCCAAGGGCAAAGTTCTAGAAGCTACCGTAGTCGCTACGGGACCAGGACGCGTCGTTGAAGTATGACATTTTATTCAGGAGTGACACACGTGTACTTTAGAGTGGAAAGGTTATTCCTCTCTGCGTGAAGGTCGGTGAAACCGTATTCCTTCCGGAATACGGCGGCACGAAAGTAGTTCTGGATGACAAGGTAAGGGATCTATTTTTGCCTTGATTTCTTCACTAGGACTACTATTTGTTCAATGAGTCCGAAATCTTGGCGAAGTTGGAAAATTAGTGTATAGGGGTTGTTGCTATAGCCGTAGCTACTGTACAGTGCTGATTATATATATGTAATTTTAGTACAACATGGTCTTTTGTTGTGGGCGTGTTTGGCATGAAGTGGACCTCGACGTGGCTTATATTCATTCCGTAGAATTCGCCTTAGAACTAGTTTTCAGTTTTGGACCACGTTATTTTCCTATTGACGCATAAGTTGTTTAGCATATAGCCATTACTGTTTGTTCAGTGACATGCGGCGTTGCTGCTGCATCGTGCTAGTGATTCCAGTTTGCTCACGGAAGGATTGTGTGGTACCAAGGCCGTCTGAGGGCAGGGTTTTTGTGCAGTTTGTGTGGGTTGGCGACAGCAACTAGTTGTAGGGTGGCTGCTTGATGAGAATAGCGTTGGGTGCTGTCCTCGCGATCATGCGAGTTGGATTTAATTGGTGGTGCAGGCACGGTAGTGTGTCCCCCAACCCTAGGGAGAACTGATTAACGGCGCCTGAGTTGTAAATACATCGGAATGGAAGTAATCGGGGTGTCTGAAGCACTGGTAGTGTAGCCACTGGCGAATTGTTGGGCTGGCCTTAAATTGCTATCATGCTTGGGGTTTTTCGGCAGAGTGGGGATGATGCGTTGACCAGAGGCTTCTGTCAAATGATGGTGAGGTGTATTTTTAGTGGCATCTCAAATAACAAGGTCTTATGGCGACTAAATTGGGGTATTCGACGGGCTTAAACCGTCGGTGCGTGCTTTCCACCGAAACTTTTACTTGGACAGTTCTGCGTGAATTTCGCAAAGGAGAAATGTCCCTAAAGCTTCGTTTACTAGAGCTTACGTGTAAGTAATTCGCCTGAGGCGTAACACTTGACGTTGGCTCAAATTTGCTGCTTGTCATTATGAAAAACATTGCAACTGTCATCTGAGTTGAACAGGTTTTATGTTGTCACGAATAACTTAGTTGTGGAGCTCAACAAAGCAAGCCTGCAGGACATGCTTACAATTTGCTGTACTTGTGACCATCGCTGGACGTATACTTGGGAACTGGAGAACGTAAGCCCGTTTTGAGCGGTTGAGTTCAAGTTGTGCCACGTATTAGCTGAAATTGTCGTTTAACTTGCCTATTCACCAGAATCTCAATTCGCATCTGCGCGCGCGTAGATAAACGCCTAGAACTCGGCCCAGCTTTGTTGGAATCGGATCTGCATGAGCTGCTTTTGTGTGCGTATGCGAGAATCCTTAGCCTTAAAAATTCCTCTACGCGTTGCCTCCGAAGGAGCCATAAATTTCACCAGTTGTTGCACTTTAACTAAAACGTTGATTGTGTGAATGGTTGCCTGCTGCTACTTTCATGGTTGATTCATTCGTCTGCTTTAAACACAGTGTACCATGAGTGTGACTAGGAGTGAGCAGGGGGGGGGAGTAAACGAACGACAGCAAAGACGCTTGAATATGCAGGGTGTTGAGTACAGGTCAGCGCGTAGCGTGACGCGGTTTTGGAGCAAGTTGGAGTAGCTAATTGGTGTGAGGACGTTGTTCGCAAGTGTTGAGTATTGACGTGGCGTAGGATGATTAAGACGAATAATGTTATTTCTATTCCAATTAAATTTTCGATTTTAACACCCCTCTGTCTGACTCCAGTCACTTCAAATGCCTGAAGCCTTTCTGATGTTCGAGAGCGTAACTAAATCAGATGCTTCTACCGATTCCCTCATACCTCTTTTTCATTGACTGCGGCTTTCTCTCGTTGGTAATATAACTGTTTACTTTCCAACTGCAAACGCCGTCTCAGTAGGTCAGATTGATCAAGCCGTTGGCGAGAATATCATCACAAATGGAACGCCCAAATAACCAGACTAGTTCATAAACAAAGTCTGTCTAATTGGTAATGCAACATACTTCATATATAAATTGAATTATACTAAACTACATGTTTTTTTCTGTATCACCCAAAGAAGCTGCTGGAAAATTAGTTCAAAGCGTTAATTTTCGAGGCTACGGAGGTAGAGCAGTCTGCGACAGTTGAACAGCGGTTGAAATCGTCCACTGTGAGCTGCTAAGAAGGCGTCTGGTGGGATTTCGAGGGAGGGCGCTCTACCACGATGGGTCGCCGAAGCGTTGGACACGATCCACGTGTTCGTCCAAGTCGATTTGCACCTGGCTCCGCATCAAGAAGACTGGGCAATCGGCACTTAATTGGTAAAGAGAGAGAACGGGCTTTTCAAAACCACGGGCAACTGCTTTGTGGTCGTTGCCATCCACTTCTGATAATGCATGCTGCGTAGCATAGCAATGTACCAAGCCACTAACCCGATGAGCATGACTCACGTCAGCATGAATGACAGGGAAGCAGCTCAGGCAAACGCGATGGCACTGACGTGCAAATGAACGAATGGCTAACAGAAACGAAGCACAAGGCACATACTTTTCCTGTCTGGGGGTGCGCGCGCAGAATCAGCGTAAACTTCTACTTTCAAGGATTAGAGAAACGTCAGTAAAGAACAGAGACGACCAGAAAAAAAAACAGGAAACATCCACTGGACTGACCAAGTACAGACGACGTCTTCGTGGAGGCTGCCTTGGCAGCGCTGACACTGGACCCAAAGTCTGGCGAAACGCGCCTCCAGGGAGCGCAGACGTCCAAGCTCCGCCTGGTAGACCTCGGAATCCGAAGGGCGATCGTGAGAACGCGGAGGTACCGCTGAAACTGCAAAACATCATCCGACTACTCCACTACATTCAAATGTGCCGTGCGTGGAAAACGCGTTTCGGGAGGATGCCCAGAATAATCCAGTGTCTGTGACGTGTCAGTGAATTTCCTTAGACACAGATTTTGTGGAAAAACGTCGAAACATCCGTTTCGTCTGCCTCACTAGCATAATTTGAGCTCTTGAGTAGAATGCGCAATTGAACTATGACTCATAATCCAGGTTAATTCTTGGACGTCACGTGACGGACTTTGTGTCTGCGAGCGCAAATCGCTTTTAATTTATTGAAAAAAGGCCATCAAGGTCGCGCGCTCACATCTAAACAAACAACTACTATACATTTTCCTTCATTTATCTTCTTCTTTAACAAAATCGAGAGTGGTCGATTGTTCTGGGGAATATGTCATTGCGGTTTGCAATCTACAAATTCTACATTCTCTACTCCCGAGCGACGTCATATCTTCGAAATTTTGCACGCGAAAGACAAGAATAAACTTAGTTAGTTTTGCCAGAAACACTAAGATGGCAACAGGGTGTCAGAGGTTTTACAAGGCTTTGAATTCCGTCTTTGTAGAAGCACTGTTAAGTAAATCGTACTTTTAGAAAACAGACGAGATCACGGCCGATTTGTTTCGTCCCTTCAGTGTCTGTTGAGCGACACGTGGCATATCGTTGCTGTGGTGATTGATGGTGTTCCTCTGATTTAAACAAACTCACCTGTTTTGCTCATATTAATTTCTCGTGGAAGAACCTGCAGGAAGTATGGTGTCTGAGCATGATCTGATCAATTTTGTTGACAAGCAAGGACGGAGAAGTAGCTGTGGAAACACGAGGTGGTTGGCTGTGGTCTCTCAAAACGCCCAAAACACATCTACCGAGTCCGGAAGTGCACTCGAGTTGCTTTATTTGGCAAACACGGGCACATTTTTATCAGCCTAGCTCCCACAAATCGCTTCACTAGAAATCGGTGGATTCAAATTTAGTAAACCAGGAATGGCCTCATTAGTGACGCCAGAAGGTAGTCCAGTAGACCTTCGTAGATCCAGCACTTGCCCCCTGTGTTCTTTTTGCTTCCCAGTTTGAATTTTAGCCCTAAACACACATTAAGGTCTTTTTTCGCTAATGTCGACTCATGACAAGTTTAGGCAACTATCAGTTGATAATGTGACTAATGACTGAAGCACGACTCTCCATCGAAAGTGGCCCCCAACGCCCCTCGAGGACTCACTCGAAAACGCCGAGTTCGCCCCGGCCTCCCCAAGAATTGGTTCGAACAACCGCACTAGTGCCGGTACCAGCTGCCTTTCGAGGTAGTATTCAGTGTTGATGGGGACTTGGTGTTGAATCGCGTAGATGGGATCTTCAGCCCTGACGTGGAGAGCAGTGTTCCTTCCCCTGCCGGCTGTGATAACATAGGACACGCGATCACCTGGTTGTGGTACCGAGTCGGCGTTGCGTCGGAGCATCCTCCTCACAACCTCCACGTGAGGCAGCTTGTTGCAGTAACTCTCAACGGGTCTCGTCAACTTCTTGTTGATTATCAGCTGGGCGATGTCTACTCGGTTGGCGAGCAAGTCAGAGATGGCGCGTTGTGCTTGGTCGAGAGCAGCCTGAGTGTCCCTAGCAAGACAACCTAACACTCATGCTCTGGGCAGAGATCAAAACGCAGGAGATTATTGATCTAATTGTGTGACTAGAGCAGCACCAACTACGACAGTGTCTGCATTAACCCGAAATGAAGCAGGAATCGGCATTTCCCATTGTTTCACACCTTGCAGACGCAAGATAGCTCACCGATTGATGATGATTTGTGTGAGGCAGGCGTTCACGACGTTGGCTACGAGAGGCGGGCTATCGCGTTGAACTGTCTCAATACCCTTGCAGTCCAGCTCGTCGTGTTTATCTGGCGTTGTGAATGCGAGACCCGCATAGTGTTTCTTGCTCAGCAGCAGGAACGGGAAGTAGACCTGAGGAGTGAAATGCAAGAGTGCAGAGAATAGAGGAAGTGGCGGTATCGACTGAACCACGAGACACACGCAAGCAAACAACAGCGACAGCAGCACCAGCAACAACGGCAACTCACGCGTCGAATCTTCCTCCTCCTCCTCGACACCACACAGGCTTAGTCTAGTGAAGTGAAACGCTGCTTTTGACAACAACTCAGCACAAATTGATTGGTCGATTTACCGCTCTGCTAGAATATTCCACGCAAACCAAGCTGGAGCCAGCTAATCAATCAACTTTACCTTCCGGAATTCCAATTTGACTGGATCCAAAAATGTGCCTGAAATGAGCTCAGCAGCCAAACGACCAACGTCAATGGCTTCGCCGACCGTTGAAACGCCGAATCTGCACATGACGCAATCCGTGTCACCGTAGATTACCTACACACAGAGACCACCAGCGTGTCCTAACAGCCACCAACTTAACAATCCAGGTCTAAACGCCATCCAAAGTCACACACCTCGGCATTGTGTTGGCGGCCGTTTGCAACGGTGACGGTCTCCTCCACCCAGCGTTTCGTGCTTTCCAACATCTCACGGCCAAAACCCGTGACAGAACTCGCGATTTGTGGGCACGGCAGAACGCCAGGGTGAGAGCCAGTGAAGCCGTAGACGAAGTTGGCACACGTCTTTAGGGCCAGTTGTCGGCTGTCCAGGATGCGGCGTTTAAAGGGGTCGGTTTCGACAGCCAACTCACGCTTTGCTCTGAAAGCAAATCATCGATTGGGATGCAAATTATGAGCATTTTTTAGGGACAGGGAAAAGAAACTAGCCACTGTTGATGCTTAACTCACGTTTGCCTGGCTGCCAGCAACTCTCTCAGAAGGCGTGGCAACAGGCCCTCGTGAATATGCTTCTTGACGAAGTAGCAGCCTGCGGGCGTCCTTGTGCAGTCGTCGGGACTGAGGTTGTGCGCGGAGAGGAGACTGGCAGCGTCTGTATGCGCGGAGGTAGGTGTAGGGGCCAGGAGTGTGGTGTAACAGAGGTTATGCGCGATTATGATGCTTGGGTAAAAGCTGGAGAAGTCCAGCGTGATGATTGGTTCGTCGTAGAAACCGCACACGGGTTCAAAGACAGTGGCTCCTGTGTACTCGTCTCTCCCATTTGACTTTACAGTGGGCACCACGAAGCCGCTTGCCCTGGCTATTCGCAGTAGCTGGGAAAATATCTACCGGGAAAAGGAGAAAAAATGAGGCGTACAGTTTTCCTGATTGGCTGTTCCTAGGCGCCAAACTATTGGTCTGGACGCGTCTCCAACCTGTACATCTGATAGGCTGGCAAATAGGTAATTTCGATCTCTACAAATGATTGTTTTGAAGGCCTAATTCTCAGTTTATGAACCAATCGTTTGAGGCTTTGTTAATTTACAATGTGCACAAGCCATGGATAAGGTGTATGTACGCAGACTGCATGCATGATGAATGAACACATGCATTTCAATGACCGCCTGCCGGCAAAAAAAGTAGATTTCTTGTGGAAAATTGTGACAGGTGATGAAAAGCGTATTCTTTACGAGGATCCCAAACGTAAAAAAATGCCGTGGGTAGATCCCAAGCAATCCACAACATCGACGCCGAAACAGGACATCCGCTTGAAGAATGTTCTCCTGTATATCTGATGAAATATGAGGGGTGTACTTTGTTACGAACTCCTGGAAACTGACTGTCAGACGGTGACTGGGCAAACTGAGAGAGGAACTTAATGGGTTTTGAAAGGATTGGACGGGAAACCCAGGAAACTAACATCGAAACAGGGCTTCCACTTGAAGAAGAGTGTACTTCATTACATGCGCCTAGAAACTAGTCAGACGGTGTCTGCGGAACACTACAATTGACAGCCGAACAAACTGAGCGATCAACGTGATCAGAAAAGATCATTTACTGCTGCGTGACAGCGCTTGACCACCTCACGTCGTTCCCTCGACTTAGAAGACCCTCTTGAACTTAGGATGAAAAGTTATTCCACACGCGCGCCACATCCACCAGACTTGGCCTTCCCTCTGACCAACATTTATTCCGGTCAATGCCGCACGCCTTAGTGAATATCCACTTAAACACCCTCGACGATTTGCGTAAACTCGTCGACGGTGACTTTACTGCCTCGAAGCCTGCAAGCTTCTTCCGCGACGACGTTCGTACGCTACCTGAGAGATGGCGCAAGGTCGTAGAAAACGATGAACACTTCATTGTTTTGATATTGCATAAATTTGCCGTAAACCACAGAGCTTGTAATGTTTAACACATAGCAAAACACACTCGTCGGAAGTGGTTTTAAAGGTTAGTCGAGAGACACCTCACTGCCAAACGGGCCAATCACATGCTTACCATCAACAGCTTATGGTTCTGGATTGGCCAGCAAGGAAACACAATCGGAATTGGTATAAATTAAAAAGGAATTAGGCTATGGATGGAGGGCGAATGTTGCGCCATGTCTTCACAGGTAAATACTTAAGTGATTACGTGATTGTTTCGCTTTAATTAAGAATGAAAAAGAAGCGCAACCTTAGCCTGTGGACCTTGTTCCAGAAGATCGGTGAAGCGAACGCCAGTGATTCTGGACATTTCGACATCGTTCACGAAAGACTGCAGTTTGTCGAAGATGCGAAGTGGGAGGTGGGCGTTTTTAAGGCAGTATGCAGCCAGACGTCTTCGGGTTCGATCGTCGCCATTTTGAAGATCAGTGACAGCCCTTGGTGGTATGTATTCCGTCTGTTCTTGCAAAAAATGGAAGCTAACTGCATTCAAAGTGTAGCTTCGCAGCCTGTGGTCTCTGAGAACTACCTACAATGAAAAGGTTTGACTTTGGTAAATAACCAATCACAGCCAAGTTAAATCTTGATGAACCAATGAAATGAGTCCTCAGCGGAGGGCAGGAGCATGATTTGTTAATTATACGGGACACGTAATGAAGTCAACGAGTAATCTATCTGGGTTAAAACAACATTGGTAAACAACTCATTCAAACAGGCAGATGCAGCAGAACTAGTAGGAACGATATCCGACTTACTGCCCACCTTTGACAAGTCGTATTGAATGCGTCCGTCGATGGAGACGGCTCTGTTCTCCCCAAGAATCGACGCTGATCCGATTACGCGACCCAGACAAAGGGATGATGAAATCCCGAGGTGAGTGCACCGATCCACCAGATAGGGCAAGTCAAATTTATGTATGCCGTAGCCCGTTATCAAGTCTGGATCAGTCTTTCGCACAAAAGACGCCCATTTCTAGACGAAAGCAGTCAAAAACCTAGTTTCCAAATCATCACTTCACAGGCCTACTAGTTATTTTGAGGATTGCACAATTCTTTGAATGGTACTCTTTCGACCAATGATAGCGAAGAGGCTCATTCATTGGCCCACACTCTCGTCGAGTTGTTATTGGTTCAAAAGTCCATAGGATACTTTTAAGGTTCACAGCTATTGGCTAGTTCGACTCACCTTAAGCATCTCCGCTTCAGTAGCACAGCAAATGACGTCCGAGCCAAAAACGGGTATACAACTGCCAAGAGTGAACACATTTCGAATGAACGGTCTAGACTCGCCATAATTTTTCACCACGCTCGCGATCTGGATGACAGCATCGTGCTCCGGAATAGGAGAGTCACCTTAACGAAAGAAAAATCAAGCAGGTGTGTCACAAGAAACAACCCACTTAGCTGCATTTAAGACATAGTAATCTAGCCAATTAGAGCTCTTCCAAAGATACAGACACTATAAAACACACACGCACCATTTTGACTGGCACACAGGATGTCGAAGCTGAGGACTCTGATTGGTGCAATTTTGGACCATTCGCCGCTGGTGGCGTGGGTCGACACATCATTGTACGCCACGTCGACCTCCAACTGACACGTGGTTTTTCGCGACGGCGGTAAACGACGAACAAGGTACTTGGTAGCGGGTAGCTCAATCCAGGAGCCTCCAGTCAGATCAGCATCGACCATGAATCGAGTCACAAAATCGACATTAGCCTCGAAAACGGCGTACGACTAGATGGAGAAAAAAGTCTATGTGAGTGGACAAACAAACGTGCAGAGTCGGGGAATTATGGGGTACTCACGTGTGTTTGGGCGGCACTGAAAATGAAACCACCTTCCAAAAGGCGTCTTGCGGTAGGCACGAATTTGGGAAGCGCTAGGGTGATTCGAATGAACTTGGATTTGACTTGGTTGTGAAATCCGACGATGGCTAAGAATGATTGGTGTAAAACAGATTTTAGCATGCCAACATTTTTTTCTACAGGTGCTACTGATGTAGGATTGCGTTGCGCCAGGGTTTAACTAACTCGGATATATTTTACACTTTCGGTAATAATAAAAGACTAATCCGGGAATTTATTTCCATTTTGATCTTGTCCGTGGACCCTTCCGGTTGTGAACATCAGGAAACAGACCACGTCGGTGAAGATGTAGTGACGTTGCTTCTGTCCTACGCATCATTTCAGCAATACTTGGACGTCAAAAGTAACAAAGGTGGACCATCCCGATTCCTAGAATCGGTGTACAATCACTTCCACAGAACGCAGGGTTCTGCAAAACATCCAGTAGACGGTTGTGTCAATTTTCCACCGCAGGCGTCTATATAGCAGTTCTAACGTGCATCCAAACCACAATAGCCCCACCTGCGCCGCAAGCACATTCCGGACAGTTCCATTGAATCCATTTGCTTGCTTACTTTCCTTCTCTTCCAACGCCACCGCCACGACTAAGTATTGAAGCCCCCTAGTCCCATCTTCCCTGAGCTCACGGTGAAGAGCCAGATTGAGTGCTCGACGGAACTTCTCAAGGTGCTCCGGCGTGAGGCTTGGCGGCGCGGACGCGTAAAAGTAGGGCGCGAAGCCGTGAACGTGGGCTACCACGCTGTTTCCACTCTCCGTGGCACCGTAAATACGGATAATTGGAACAGGGCTGCGTTCTGGCCCTGGCATTTCAAGCAATCTGTCACCCTACACCAAATACAAGCAATTTGTAGCGGGTTTGTGACAAGACACGTAAAAAGAAAACAATTTTATCGCTAAAATGACGTTGTTTTACACCCGAAGCTAATCAGACACCTAGAACTGAGTCTGCACTATTGCCAGAGGAAAGTCTTTATGTAAAACAAACAATTAATTCTTTTGATTCCTCCAAAATGTTACGGGCGTACTCAGATACCGCCTTACAGAAATGAGCAATTTAAAAGAGTCTCAAGTTTGTAAAATCCTTTGCACTTAAGACGTAAGAGGGACTGCAAAACCCGCAAGGAACTTAGTGCCGCAACTGATGAGATTTTAAACAAAACGAACCTCGTAGAAGTCAAGGTGGAATAACTGGAAGAGTATTTTGTCATTCGCCGCATTTACAGGTGGAAGCGCGGGTCTTGACCAGGTACTGTCATCACCACCATCATCATCATCATCGGCATCACTTGTTTCATCCGAGGCAACCATCATGAGTTCCTGCGCAAACGTCGATGCTCCGACCTCCTCCTCGTTGTCAGCTTCGGGCCTGGGAGGACATTCAAGGTAACATTTACGCAACACACGAAAAGTGACTTGTAGAGCAATCTCTATCAGTTGGAAGATGGATGAGAGAGGGATCTGCTACAAGGATTAATCGTATGGAAGGTGGAGGTCGCATCAGCGTGGTGAATATAGTAAAAAAGAAAATCGGCAGCGGTTATTCTGCATTGAAGCGTCCTGGTTGCACGGTTGATTAATAAAGGGATCACAAATGTAACAGACTTGTAGTGAATCGTGCTGTGTTGCATACTTCGACACAGTACTCTCCTCTTTTCAGTAGCTATGCAAGACCATCCGTTAACACACGCCTCCACAGCTGTCTGCTTTACCCGTTTGGCCATTCACCCAGATTGTAGCGATTAGAAATAACTATTAGCCATGCACTACGTTAGGTATCCGAAAACAATAAAACGCAACCAGGTTGCGGTCTTCTTTGAGCAATACAACGAGCTCTGATGCGGTACGAGACACGAAATATTAAGTAAATCGAAGAAGTACGAGTCTAGAAAATGTTTTTTGAAGGACATGAGAGGGACAAATTCGTTGCATTTCCGGTGTTGCTGTGGACCTTAATTAATGTCTGCATGCATCAGTAGTCACGTTTGTGGACTAACTCAATATGGCACGGCTTTCATTTTATACAATAAGTAAATAAATGTGGCCAAGACCTGAAAAGGACATATAAACTTACCTATATCGCTTTGAATGATTTGGATAGTCATCGTCCCGATTAAGAGGCATTACAAATTCAATAAAAACGAGTATTTAAGTGTAAGTGAGCAAAAGTGTACTGGGACCTATTTCCGCGGTCCCTTTACAAGATGACAAGGGCGCAGCCATGATGGTACCAAGGACGCCCTATCGGTTTGTAGCCTTTGCAGAGGAAACAGAAGAGATTTATATGGAGAGATTTAAGTCGCTACACAGCAACTGAATTAGCTTACTCTTAATGACTGTTTTGCTGATTCAGAGCTCAGAGAAGGAGTTATGGTTGCTGCGTGTGTCCCTTGGGCTCATGGTTCGTTGGCTTCCAGCGTAAATGCGTAAATAAAAGCAAACTGGCGAGATCATAAGGGTGAACATTTTTAACCGAATGAGGCCTATTTAGTTATTTGATTCTTTTTTAAAGTGAATTAATTATGAGAGCATTTAAGACGTGTAAAAAACTGAGAAATGCAAAAATCGTTACATTTTTTTGGATTGCATGCTGTTTGGTTCGTCTTTTTGATGAGTGGGGCAATCAAATTAGGGATCACATCCTAGACAGCAAAATTCGATTCTAAAACAATCTTAGGAATAAACATTTGCACTGAATATTCTCTTTTCATGGTTGTTTAAGTAAATTTTATGTATAGGATATTCTTATTATATTTTGCAGTTGGCCAAATACTTTGACGGGCCTAAGAGTTCTAAACACTTAATAATGTCGTAAAATAAAAATGAGCCACCTTAAGGCGACAGACGTCTCTTGTCCCATTAAATCGGTATTTTATCCTTCTATTTAGAGGACATGCCGGTTTTCTTCCACGAAAGGATAGGTTTTTCTCGTAACAACCACAAATGTAATGGTACAACGCAAAAATAAGGCATGTAATAAAAACGTATCACAGCAACACAACGTAAATGCCCGCTTCGTGCAGTGTAGCTATGTGAACATGAAGTAAACGTAACTGCAACGAAGATAACAAGCAAATATCAGACCAGCTTTGTTAAGAAAGGCAAAAGTTCAGCTTTGAAACCCACTTGAGTCAAATTGCCAGCTCAACAATTAATTAGTCTATTCACTTGTGCTTTCTATTTCGTTCTGCCATTATTATTATTATTATCATCAAATTTTAGCATTTCACTGCGTGCTTCATTAGCTGATTCCGATATCTGTTTATTTGTTAGTGAATAAACCATTTAACGTAGAATGTGACCATGGCTGCTGGATAAACAATCAATCAATTTCCAAACTTCATATTTAAATATTTTCGCTAATGAAACAGATGAACGCTGATTGCTTTTTCTAAAGCAGATGCCATTAAATCTAACGCAGTTTAACTGGTTGACTATGTAAAAGCATGTATTTTACTGTACGAGTGAATTAGTGTTAATGTGGCTACATTTAAGATAATAAAGTCATTAATCCTAGAAGTGTGATTCTCTTCTCTTTAATCCCTCTCTCCAATCTTCCCCTGAATTTTGACACGCCGAACATTTTTACTTGTTATTCTTAATGATGATGGTTATGGGTGCGTTAAGTAGCGTGATTACAAACATTCGGCTCATTTCTTTGTTTATATCCATTGACTGTTTATTACGCGCTCTAGTCTATTAACCATATCAAACAATTCATTTTAATGGACAGAATTAATGTACAAAGGTAGGTTGACAGGACATTAATTTGACTCCCAACAAACTCATCATTGAGAGAAGCACAAAAGTTTAAATTAAATCTTACCAACCTCGTCTTTAAATATGTAATGACAACAAACGCATGAAGTTATAAGTGTACTGATGCTTCATTCTGTGGCGGGTTAAAATTGAAACTGGGAAGCCATGCAGCTAAAAGAGTCACCGAGACGTTTGCTTCGATCGTTCTGCTGGTCGAAATGCAGCAACGGATCAAATAAGTCGATTTCAAATCAGTGATTTTACTTGGGTCCACGACGGTCTACTGGACTACCTTCTGGCGTCACTAATGAGGCCATTCCTGGTTTACTGAATTTGAATCCACCGATTTCTAGTGAAGCGATTTGTGGAAGCTAGGCTGATAAAAATGTGCCC